TCAGCTTCGTTGTTTGACGCTGGGAAGCCGAAGCTGAACGATTGTCGTATCAGTTCGCCAGTTGGTGATTGGAGTTGAACACCCGCGCCTGAACCTTTGTTCGTCGAGGAACCGTCCACATGTAATATCCAATTCTGACTCGGGAGCTGGGTGTCCTGTTCTAGTTCGGGTGCTAACTCGAAAATGAAGTCAGCCAAGACCTGAGCTTTGAGGGCTGTGCGATTTTTATACGTTATGTCGAGCTCCCCGAGTTCTACGGCCCACTTGGTTAGTCGACCGGCGCGATTCCTATTCTGCAGGACAGTTCGGAGGGGCTGATCGGTCAGCACCTCAACCGAGTGTGATTGGAAGTAGGGTCGAAGCTTTCTGGCTGCTTCTACCACGGCGAGAGCCATCTTCTCAAGAGATGGATACCGAGTTTCCGGACCAGTCATGCGCCTGCTTGTGTAGAAGATTGGCTTCTGTTCGCCTCTGTCCTCCTTGATGAGGACGCTACTAACCGCTGCGCTAGAGACGGCGATGTAGAGTGAGAGGACGTCTCCTTCGTCTGGCTTTGTGAGGACTGGAGGGGTGGTGAGGTACTTCTTGAGCTAGGAGAAGGCTTCCTCGCACTTATCGTCCCAAACGAATTTCTTGTTTCCACGGAGAAGGTCATAGAAAGGGAGACATTTATCGGTTGATCTAGAAATGAAACGGTTAAGAGCGGCGATGCGACCAGTTAGCCGCTGGACTTCGCGGCTGTTCTTAGGACTTGGGAGATCGAGCACAGCTGATATTTTCTTCGGGTTGGCTTCAATCCCTCGTTGGGTAACGATGTAGCCTAGAAACTCGCCGGAAGAGACTCCAAACGTACACTTCGCTGGGTTCAGCTTCATCCCATACTTGTTTAGCGTTTCGAAGCAGTCGCGTAAATGGTTAAGGTGATCTTTGGCATGAAGCGACTTGACGAGCATATCGTCGATATAAACTTCCATGGTGCTACCGAGTTTATCGGCGAACATGCGGTTGACGAGTCGCTGGTAGGTAGCACCGGCATTCTTCAACCCGAATGGCATGACTTTATAACAGTATGTTCCTCGGTCTGTGATGAACGCTGTCTTCTCGCGATCATCGGGGTGCATCATGATCTGGTTGTAGCCCGAGAACGCATCCATGAAGGTGAGCATCTCGTTTCCTGCGGTTTATTCTACGAGACGGTCGATGCTGGGTAATGGGTAACTATCCTTCGGGCAAGCTTTGTTAAGATCGGTGAAGTCGACGCAGACGCACCATTTCCCGTTCTTTTTCTTGACCACCACAGGATTCGCTAGCCATTCCGGGTAACGAACTTCTGTGATTGAACCAGCTCCGAGTAGTCGTTCGACTTCCTCGTTCACTGCTTTCGCTCTTTCCGGGCCCAGCTTACGTCTTTTCTGGCGGATAGGCTTGAAAGTGGGGTCGACGTTGAGCTCGTGGGTAGTTATTGCTGGATCAATTCCTTTCATGTCCGTCATAGACCAAGCGAAGGTGAACACATTTTCCTTCAGGAATGTGAGCAATGCTCGCTGCATATCGTCGGCTAGATGTGCACCGACGCGCACCGTCTTACTTGGATCAGAATCGTCTATAGGCATCTCCAGAACCTCGTCTTTCTGAGGGAAGGTTCGAGCGATCGGATGAGAGACAGAGTTGACTAGGGATGATGAACGTTGCAGCTTGACTGTGGCGATTAGCAGGTCTCGCGCGGCTTGCTGATCTCCGCGGACGGTCTTGATTGTTCCGTCTACCCCAGGGAACTTGATGCATTGGTGGTAGGTTGATGGAACTGCTTGCATCGAATGTATCCATGGGGTTCCGAGAATGACATGATAAGGGGCTTTAGTGTTTACCACGGCGAATTTAACCGTTCGAGTAACTCCGCATGCGCGGACTGGGAGACGGATCGTCCCTAGGATGGTTTCCGATGAGCCGTTGAAGCCGGTCAAGGTTCGTGAGGATGATTTGACGTCGTCGAAATCTACCCCCATCTNATGACATGATAAGGGGCTTTAGTGTTTACCACGGCGAATTTAACCGTTCGAGTAACTCCGCATGCGCGGACTGGGAGACGGATCGTCCCTAGGATGGTTTCCGATGAGCCGTTGAAGCCGGTCAAGGTTCGTGAGGATGATTTGACGTCGTCGAAATCTACCCCCATCTTCTCAAGCGTATCACGAAAGATGAGGTCAACTGAGCTTCCTGTGTCGACTAGTACTTTGGTTACATCGTACTTACCGATCTCAAGGACGACTAGCAGAGGATCGTTGTGGGGCAAGTGGACTCCGTTCAAATCTTCGGGGGAAAAGCTGATTGGCGTGTGGCTCGGTGGCTTCGTAGGCCAGCGTCTCGAAGATGCGGCTTGGCGCCGGTAGTCTTTGACGGAGCGGACAGAGTCGCCACAAGGAGGTGATCCACCCATGATGGCGTTCAGCCGTGGTTTCGCGACTACTCGTTTGGTATCTAAGAATGTACGAAGATCCGCAGGGACGTTCTCGTCGCTCGGATTTGACGAGTCCATGGTATGGGACGAAGTTGACTGCTCTAGCCGTTGATTTATTGATTTGGAACGGTTTAGTCGCGCGCGTAAATCGGTCAGGTTAGCGTTGAGTTTGTCGCGCAGATCGGTGACAGGCTTGTCGACCGACAAGGGAGGCTCCTTGGTTTCCAGGCGTCGCGACTTGTTGGCTTGGAGCTTGAGGCGGAGGTCTCTACTGTTGACGTCACTGCATGTCGTCTCCTTTCGCTTCAGGAAGCTCCGCAGGTCGCTTGATTCGGGCGAGTTATCGTCCTCGTCATCAGATGACAAAGGTTGCTGAGATCGTATTACCTCAATACGTTGACGGCTTGCTGGTTGCCCCTCGTCTCCCGAAGAGGCTTCGTTGTCGGCGGCATCCGAAGGTTTGTCGTCTAGACGGCGTTGCTCTCCGTTTTTACCACCGGACTTTCGCTGCGCGCGTTTATCTTTGTTCTTAGACCAACTCTTGCCGGATTTTGGTTTCTGCTTTGGGGGCTGAATCTTGAAGTCGCCTTTTTCAACCGATGAGAGGAATTCAGCGTACATCGTTCTACACTCGGTTGTATCGTGTCCTATGACGTCATGGTACTTACAGTGTTTGGTGAGGTCGACTCCTTTAGAAGATCCCGCTCCTGAGGTAGCCGGCGAAGCTGGTTGAGCCGGTTCGGCAGGACTAGCCAAACCTTTCAGAGCCGCCGTCTCTCGGTTGTACACGTTCCATGGCTCGCCGCGTACTGAGAAACTTGCGACTGGTGTGTTATTCTCGTCGACGACAAACAGAAGCCCGCTCTTTTGTTGTTTCTTGTCGCCGGAGGCGGGTTGACGCGGCTCCGGCTTTGCGTCAGAGGTCTTGGGCGTTGTCGGCTTTGCTGCGCTATGTTTGCCTATGATTGCTTTCGTGTCCTCCTCCATTCGGATGAAGTTGTGTGAGCGAGCTATGGCATCCTGGAGCGTCGTGGAGGTGCTTCGGTATAGGTCCTCTTGGAACTTGGAATCGAGATGGAGGGTGTTCATTAGAGCGTCGACGGCTATGTGGTCAGGGATGTCGATCTTTGAGACGATCGACTTGAAGCGCTCCATGAAGTCTCGAAGACTTTGGTCTTTAGTCTGCTTTAGGTTCCACAAGCTGGAGGCTGTCGCTTCGCGCTTAGTGAACATGATGTAGGTTTTGAGGAAAGCCGAGGAAAGCTCTCTGAAGCTGCTGATGGAGTTCTCCTTGAGACCTGAGAACCAGGTCAAGGCTTGGTCGTGGAGTGTTTCCACGAACAGCTGACAGTATGCGGCGTCTCTTTCGTCGTCGGGTAGCCGCGCTCGGGCCATCGCGATGTTGAAAGCAGTCATATGTACAGGGTCACCGCCGGGTTTGTATTGCGGGACGCGCAGCTTCTCAATCTTGCGGAAGTTTACGCTAGTCAACGTACTGGTGAATGGAGTACGCTCGGTTGAAGCGAGAACACTCTCGATCTGTGGAGCGGCGATAGTAACCTTGTGAATCGTGGAGCTCATCTGTTGGAGGTTCAGTTTGAGCTCGGCGATTTCACGGACAGTCGTGAGATCTGGGCCGACTTGAGCTGCTTCTGCAGCGTGCGGCTCGGTGGGTTCCGACTCTTCGGAGATATGGTCGGCTACCGGCGCTGTCGGGTTAGTGTTGAAGAGATGACGTCGGAACGGTTGAGAGTTACTCGTCTGCCCGGCGGGAGCTGCTGTTAACGCTGCTACGAGTGCGGCGAGTTGAGCTTGAGTCTCCTTTTGGATTTCGTCTTGTCTGGCGAAACGCGCCATGACGGAGCTCATGAAGTCGGGCGGAAGGGGTGTTTCGGGTACGGGAGTCTGAGTCGGCTCCTCCCCGGCGGTTCCGGAGACGGTTCCGTCGTCAGGCATGTCTAGATCTGATAATGTTGCTTTGTTCAGAGCCCCACGGTGGGCGCCAAATTGTTTGAGGTGAAAATGGTTTAGAACAATATAAAGAGAGAGATGAGGGCGAACAAAGACGTTTTTATTAGATCTGAACAAGGAGTTACAAAGAGAAGAGTAAAGAGGCGGACTAGCCGAAAATACAAGATGGAGAGTAAACGGAAAGGTGAGTAAACCCTAGATCTAACCACCTAGTCGCTAAGAAACCCTAGATCTAGCCGCCAAGTGAGTATGTCCAATTCCCGATCCCTTTTCCCTTTGCTTCCTCTCTCCTTTTATAGATCCTATCTTCGTGTTCGCCCTAGTTCACCCGAGCCTTGTTGGGCTTTATTATTGCTAGGCCCGTTTAGTAGTCCGGGTAAGTCGTACTTCCGCCGACTCTTCTAGAATACGTTTAGTCGCGCTACTAAACGCGTCTCATGCTGAATCGTTTTGATGTTACCCGGTGGACTGAGTATATTGTCGTGTTGGGCTAAGTTTCTCCATTTGATGGGCCTTGTGGAGGGGTATAACCCATCTCCTACAGTGGTTTCAGGTAAACAGTGTGAGGAGAATGAGAATAGTGGGCCTAACGGGAGGCATAGCGTCTGGGAAGAGTACAGTCTCCAACCTCTTCAAGGCTAGTGGCATTCCTGTTGTGGATGCTGATGTCATTGCTCGAGTAATCTCTTTCTCACTGCCTCTTGCATTTCATCGGTCATATCTTTGTTCTGTTAACTTTCTTGGAACTATTGTACAACCAATTAGAGATCTGAGATATGAATTGAAGTTAACAAAGGTGTGTTTGTTTGTTTTTGTAGAATGTACTGAAGAAAGGAAGCGGTGGATGGAAAAGAGTAGTTGCAGCTTTTGGGGAGGAGATTCTTCTTCCTAGTAGAGAAGTGGATCGGCCAAAGCTTGGTCAGATGGTCTTCTCTTCCGATTCCAAACGCCAAATTCTAAACAAGTAAGGAACTGAAAGTTTCCCCTTTTTGTTTATTAGGATGGGGTTTCGAAATTCGGCGTTGTCTTTCTTCTCTCTGACAGGTTGATGGCTCCGTACATATCATCTGGTATCTTTTGGGAGATCCTGAAACATTGGGCAAAAGGAGCTAAAGTGATAGTTGTTGATATCCCGTTGCTGTTCTAAGCTAAGATGGACAAATGGATAAAACCCATTGTTGTAGTGTGGGTTAGTCAAGAAACACAGCTCAAAAGACTGATTAAGAGAGATGGACTGAGTGAGGAAGATGCAAGAAACAGAGTGATGACTCAGATGTCTTTTGATTTGAAAAGAAACAGAGTGATGGCTCAGATGTCTTTTGATTTGAAAAGAAGCAAAGCTGATATTGTGATTGATAATAATGGCGGTCTCGACGAACTCCACCAACAGTTCGACAAGGTCTTATCTGAGATCACAAGACCATTGACATGGATTGAGTTTTGGCGTTCAAGGCAAGGTGCCTTCTCGATCCTTGGTTTGGTGACTTCTGGACTCTTTGTTTACAAACAGCTCAATTAGCTCTTTACCATTTTGTATTTTTCTGTTTCTTTCTCTACGGTACAAAGTTAAACCACTTTTGTTTCTATTTTTATAACTATTACAGCTTTCATTTATTTCTCTTTCACCAGTTTGATTTCACTCTCCTATTCAGTAACCACAAACCCCTTTATCAAATGTACAAGTTGAAGCTGAGATTGTTTAAAGAAACAAAGAAAGATAAGAGCACTAGTCATATGAGGCAATGAACGGAATGACCATTGACATGAAGACATCGTAAGAGAGCGTTGCATAGCCCGTGTACCCAGGGTCTTTCTCTTTGAACTTCTCAGTCAGACTCTGATACAACCCACAAAAAGAAAACATGTGTCAAACGATCACAAGCGGTTATATTCATGGAAAATTAGAAATACTTATGGAGCTTAAAAGGATCATAGTTCCTACCTTCACAATCATCCCGCATCTGCAAATCCAGCACATAATAGTAGTTAAGAAACATAATCAAGAACCAAAAATCGATAAAGACAGAGGAAGTAAGTTACTCGAGGAATCTATCGAAACAGAGGTCACTAGAGTTGCTAGTGCCATCATCAAACTGAGATAAGATAATAAGTTGGAGAACAGAGGTTGGAAGCATGTAACCGAGATGATAGAACGCGTCTCTGAGCTCTAAAGCATTAATCTTTCCACTCCTATCTCTATCGTACCTGTCAAACATCGCCTACAAAACCCACAATAACAAGTATGACACCCTCTTAAGCCATAAAAAGAACTAATACACTTTTTCAACTAGACATAAGTGTTCACTTACACGCCACTGCGCAAGGCAATTCCACAACTCAACATACCCCTTAGGCCCTGCATAAAAGGTGATATTGATCAGACAACAAATCTAAGCTCGGTTCTTGCTTTTAAAACCAGTTTCTTCCAAATCAGAAAAGAATCAAGAGAAGAAAATCAATTTAAAAATAACTAAAAATGAAAAAAGTTTACCAAGCCGTAGTACAGATTCTCCAGGGCTCTTGTAGATGAACAAGAGGAACCTAATCGTTCTGTTACTGATTCCTTCGTAGCCAGAAAACGACAACGCATGCCGGAGCTCCGATTCATCAAGGAATCCGCTCCGGTTTCCGCCAGCCGATTCGAAGCTTCTAATAATGTCCGGATGCGTTTCCGGTGAAAACTTTCCGGAAGATCCGAGTTGATTCCTTGGTTGACCCGAAGAGCTGTATGGATACGCGTAAGTGTATCTATTTTCCTCGTCGAGCTGCTGCCCGAACGATTCTGGAAGCTCCGGTGCCGACGGTGCGTACGCCATTGATGATACGATCAAGATTCTTGGATTCAGAAAAATTTTGGTTACTGCGTTTGTCTCAAATGCTTGGAGCTTGAAGACGACTGATTCTGATAATCTCATTCCACTTTTTTTTTTTCTTTTTCTTTCGCGTGTTTGATAAATTTTATTAGTACTAGGTGATTTTCCCGTGCTGTGCTCATGCACGGATACGAATATTCATGAAAATAAAATTTTATAATAATTGATTGATATTTAATTTTAGTTTTGAATCAATTTATATGTATAATTTATATTAATAAATATTATATTATTCTAATTATACCTATGACTTTGGATATATTATTGTCGGTTTAATTATTTTTTGGATCAATAGTCGGTTTGGTTATCAATTTGATATATTATAGGTATAATTTATATTAATAATATTATATTAATTGAATTATATATATAATTTTAGATATGTTATATTTCATCAGCTTTATTGTTTTACGGTTGATTTAGTTATTATTTGGATATATTAGATTCTATCTATTTTTCTAAATTCAACTATAATCTTTTTTTCCTCAATATATTAATTTTTTTTAATCGTCTTATTTGCATTTATGTCGGTTGTTATTTTTAAAATATAAATATATCTAGCAAGATTATGTATAACTTAAGATTTTTTGTGCTTAGAAATAAAAAAGATTGAAACTAAATTGTCTGATTCTAAATTACATACATACGTAACTAATAAATTTTTGGAAGCTTATGAACACATATCAATATTTACAATATTTAGATTGATTGGATGGTAAATAGAAATTTATTTTAAATAATTTTAAAATAAAGATTCTGATTTGCTTAAGTATTTTGATTATGGTTATATTAAGTTCCACAAACATAAAAACAGAAAATTTAAAAATCCAAAGAATTATTAAGCACACATATAAATCTAACTATTAAAATATAATATATATACTTTGTTAAATTATATAGTGTTATGATGTTTTAAAATAATTGTAGTTATTTGATCAAAAAATGTTTGTTATTAAAATTTATTTTTAGTTTTGTTTTTGATATCTCTTAAAATATGCAGTAAAAAATTTTATTGTTTTTGAAAAATTATACTATATAAGTAAAATAGAATTTATATTTTTTACTGTAATTGTAAGATATTATAGTCAAATAAATATACTAAAAATAAATAATATATTTCAAGAATACTAATTATAAAATACAAAACAATGTAATAACTAACAAAAAAAAACTTCATTGAGTTCGTATACAGATTATTGTTCTGAGACTTTCACTGCTTTAGCATTATCCAGTAGTAAACTATATATCATTCACTATTAGTAGTTAGCACATGAGGCTGATGTACTGAGAAACATGTCTTCAATCGACAATATGGATAATGCTAGCAGGAATATGGACAAAATACCTAGTTTCCGTGCTCATGCACGGATATGGATATTCATAAAAGTAAAATTTTATAATAATTTATTGTTATTTAGTTTTAGTTTTAAATAAATCATATGTATAATTTATATTAATAAATATTATATTATTCTAATTATACATATGACTTTGGATATATTATTATCAGTTTAATTATTTTTTGGATCAATAATCGGTTTGGTTACCAATTTGGTATATTGAATAATATCTATTTTTCGAATTCAGCTATAATATTTTCTATTCTAAATATAATAAAACTTTGATTAATTTTGTTATTTTCATTTTGGTTGGTTATTGTCTTAGATATGTAAATATATTATAGTTAAATTATGTATAACTTATTATATACTGTGCTTAAAATGAAATAAATAATAAGCTGAATTGTTTGATTCAAAATTACATAAATGAATATAATGATAATATTTTGAAATCTCATATATATAAATTCTACAAAAGAATTAAATTGTAATTGGTTAATATTTTATGTTTTTTTTAATATGCTTTGAGTCAACCTCTAATTTATATGTAAAATTCAATATATTATTATTATTATTATTATTATTCTTGTTATTATTATTAAATTATAAGTTCTTATTCTAGTTAGATGTTTAATTTTGGATATAAAATTAGATTAGTTGAGTCATTTATTTTGTGAGTATATTGAGTTAAATATATTTTTAAATTAAAATTGAAGTATAATTATTTTTTATTTTAGTTAAATCAAATCAAATTAGTTTTATTTATCGCTTAAATATATATGTATTTTTATAATATTTATTTACTCTTTATTTTAGTTACGTCAAATCAAATTAATTTTATTTATCGCTTAAATATACATGTATTTTCATAATATTTATCAAATTATATGTTGATTTCTAAACAATATTAGAAAATAAAGTGTAACTGATAAATTTTTGAATGTTCATGAACATATATATTTTTATTATTTTGAAAATTTATTTTATGTTATTTAAAAGTATATATTAATGGGGGTATTACTATTTTGTGAACTTTCCTTTTTAATAAAGTCATATTACATATATATTTTCGTTTTTAAATTTGTTTTAAAATTTTAGAAATATTTCCTTTTTATTATATATGTTATTTGGAAAAAGGTAAAAAAAAATTAAATAAAAAAATAATAATAATCTTAAAATCTAACAATTCGTTAAGGGTATCTATGTAATCAACCACCGCGAAAGTTAACGTGAGAGCGACACATAGGAAACTGACTTCTCAAATAATATTATAGAGATTCGATTAGACGGTGTTAAATTTAGTCAGTTAATCCAACGGTAAGAGAAAGAACATTCAATCGAATACTAATAAATTTGTGCAACACATTGGATTTCTTCAGCCAAAAGGAGGATTTTCCTTGGTAAGGTATTTGATGAGGAGAATCTCATAGCATTCCAAACTAGACTTATTCCACATGGTCTAGATTAAAAGGGAATATTGAGTTGGGACACCTTATATAAGGTTAAGAAGGGTTCTAAATGGTGAAAAGAGGAGAAGAAGTTGTGTATGAAAGTAAATGAAGAACGAAGGGTTCTAAATGGTGGAAAGAGGAGAAAAAGTTGTTGTGTATGAATGTAAATGAAAAACAAGGATGAACAATGTGAAGAACAAGTGAGAAAGTGAGAGAGAGTTGAATCCGTAAAGGAGAAAGAGAGTAAAGTGAGGAAAATATTTTTTTTTCTTTTCTGGTGTGTTTACATACATATTTATAAGCTAAACAAATGGAATAAGACAAGAAGCATATACATAAACAATTGGGATCTTGGCCGAGGGATAGTGACACTTCATAAACGGTCCACTCCCTTAAATGGAACATGTGATCTTGCTTTAAATAATCTTCTTGCTAGAGACCAAAGCTCCCAAAAGGCTTCAAGATATTTTGGCTCTCCTCTTGAACGAGTTTGAACTTCCCTTGTCTTCCAAGGTAAGTTAGGCTAAGCTTTGGTTCCTTGATCTCCACGCTTGTACGGACAGCCTTGAGAGCCAAGTATGTACGGACACGTCTACTTCCCAAGTACTCAGATCCTCATACCTTCCTGTCTCCAATTTAATACTCCCCCTCAAGTTTAACCATAAGGCATGGTGAAGTTTGAAACCATGGAGACAACCCCTCATTAAAACCTTTGCATAGAAAACCCTTATGGGATAAAACCACACAAAGGAAACAGTAGGTGTTTAATGGTTGAGAGGGTATGGGTAGATCAATGAGTCCTAGTCTCGGATGTATAGACTCATAGACCTTAGTGCTTGCTCCCTTGGTGAAGATATCAGCTAGTTGGTCTTCACTTCTAGTGTAGCAAGGCAATATAATCTTCTGCTCCACAGCTTGTCTCACCTTGTGACAATCCACCTCAATGTGTTTTGTCCTTTCATGGAAAACTGAGTTGGATGCTATGTGAATAGCTGCCTGGTTATCACAATGCATTGTCATTGGTGTTGATGTCTCTATGCCCAAGTCTCTTAGCAGGTTCCTGATCCAAATGAGCTCACTAGTAAGCTTCCTCATGGCCCTATATTCTGCCTCAGCACTTGAACATGATACCACATTTTGCTTCTTGCTCTTCCAAGTCACTAAGTTGCCTCCTATGAAAGTGCAATAGCCTGTTGTAGACCTTCTGTCTACTCTATCACCAGCCCAATCTGCATCACAATACCCTACTATATCTGTGCTTTTGTTGCATCCCATCCATACACCTTGACCCGGAGCTTCCCTTAGGTACCTTAGAATCCTTTCCACCATATTCCAATGGTGAACTTTAGGACCTTGCATATGCTGGCTCACTTGGTTCACTTCAAAGGAGATATTTGGCCGAATGATGGTTAGATAGATCAGTTTGCCCACCATTCTCCTATAAAGTTTGAAGTCTCCAAATGGTTCATCTTCAAACTCCCCCTCACGCAAGACTTTGTATCCTTCTTCAAGTGGTGTCTTGGCCATCCTTCCTCCTAGTTTTCCTGCCTCATTCAATAGATCAAGTGTGTATTTTCTTTGGGATAGAAACAATCCTTCCTTAGAACGGCACATTTCTATTCCTAGAAAGTACTTTAGCTCACGCAAATCTTTAATATCAAATGAACTTTTAAGGAAAGCTTTAGAGGAGATGATACCTTCTTTGTCATTTCAAGTGATGATTATATCATCCACATAGATCAAGATTACCACAATACCTTGCTTGCTTGTGAGTGTGTGATCAGCTTCTGATTTTATAAAACCTCTTCCATTTGAGGTTGTACTCAACTTGTGATACCAGGCTCTAGGTGATTGCTTTAGACCATATATAGCTTTCTTCAATCTCAAGACATTCCCTGGTTTCACCATGCTTTCTAGACCAGGAGGTGGTCTCATATACACCTCATCCTCTAATTCTCCTTGTAAGAAGGCATTCTTGACATCCATTTGCCATAGATCACATTCCAAGTTCACAGCCACTGATATTATGATCCTTATGGTGTGAAGCTTGGCCACTGGTGCAAATGTGTCAAGGTAGTCTTCTCCATAAACCTGAGTGTACCCTCTTGCAACCAATCTGGTCTTCTTCCTCTCTGGCTTTCCATTAGCCAAATATTTGATGGTGAATAGTAACCGGCTGGTCACAGCTTTCTTGCGCTTAGGTAACTCAGTCTCAAACCATGTGTCATTCCTTTCCATAGCACCCATCTCTGCTCCCACTGA